CAGTTAAAGTCCAAGGTCAGGATGACTGCTAAAGGTCAAATGAAGAACTCCAGTGGATAACATAGAGTTACAACAAATAGTTTGTAATCTGAAAAATAATAGCGCACCCGGAAAAGATGGCTTACACACTAAAACTATCAAGATGATCATGAAGTATATCAGTCACCCTATAACTCACATTATCAACCCCTGTTTCAAATCCTCAGTAATTCCTCGCCAATTTGAAGAAAGCATAGTGACACCAACATTTAAATCTGAAAGTAAAGACAATAAATATGTTCAATTATAGACCTATTTCAGTTATCAATGTATTTGGGAAGATTTTTGAGAAGTGTTTGAATAACAAACTTTGTTCTTTTCTTGAGAAATATGACATAATATCGAACTGTCAATTTGGGTTCCGCAAAAATTGCAATACAGAGCAATCTCTACAAGAACTTACAGGACAAGTGCTTGAAAATTTTCAAGATGGAAATAAGACTGTTGCAGTTTTCCTAGATCTTCAAAAGGCTTTCGATTCAGTATCTCATACAATTTTATTAAAGAAACTAGAAAGTGTTGGAGTGCGTAGTGGAGTTCTGAACTTATTTGAGAACTATTTGGCTGATCGATTACAGCAAGTTAAGGTAGGGTCAGATTTAAGCAACATTCAAAAGATCAAAATAGGTGTGCCTCAGGGGACGGTTTTGGGACCAACACTGTTCCTCATATACATAAATGAACTACTTCGATGTAATTTCAACTGTAAGATGATATCATATGCAGACGATACTGTTTTAGTTTGCACTGGTCATTCATGGGATGACGCAATACGGAATGCCGAGTTGTCATTGAATAAAGTCAAATGCTGGTTGGATAACAATTTACTTAAACTTGATATCTCTAAAACTAAGTATGTAACGTTTTCTCCAACCAAAGCAGGGATGCCATTACACCACCGAACATTAATTATAAATGATAGTGCTGACACTGTCGAAAGAGTTGAAGTTATTAGATACTTAGGAATCATTGTTGACAGTAATTTAAAATGGCAGAGTCATGCCGAGCTTTTGGCATCGAAATTAAGGAGAATTATTCATAAGTTTTTCATTCTTAGGAATATTTTAAGCAGAAAGAGTCTTTTCTCAATATATAACTCGTTTGTAGGATCTCTACTAACTTACGGGATAAGTATTTGGGAAGCCGCATACACTAGTACTTTAAAAATACTACAAACCACGCAAAATTATATTGTCAGGACTATTTTTAGTATCCCGTGTAGGTCAAGTTGCAGATTTGTTTACATTGAAAATGATCTTTTGAATGTTGTTGTTAGAGGTTTATATATTTTTGCTGCTCTAAAATTTGTTCACTCCCGAAACAATGTTCCAACCAGCCACGCTTATGAAACAAGAACTAAAATAAATATAAGTTACACCTATACCAGAGTGAATAAATCTGTTTGCCAAAAATGCATAAAGTTTGATGGTATTAGGTTGTATAATAAATTACCCCTAGAATATAAAATCCTCTCGAAGTATAAATTCAAAAAAAGAATTAAGAAGTTCATCTTAAATAACTTTGACATGCTTGCATCGATGGTAGCTTGACTCAACTCAGTAATTTCGTTTCTATCTAACATTTTTTTTTTATTTCTTTTTTTTTATATACATTTGCTCATAATATACCTTATGACCATTAGCCATGCATTGAATTTGTATATTGTATGACACACACAAGCTTATAGCTTAGGTGTCTATTATTTTGTAGTAAATTCTTTTGTAGTAAATTGTAGTACTCTTGTTTCTCTGCTTAACCTTTACGCAAAATTTTTATTGTTCAAACAACATAGTTTGACCTTACTCGAAATATCCCTCTATTATCATATTTCAGATATTCATATTTTATGTACTCTATATTTATACTTTTGAGTGTGTTTAGTATGCTTCTGTACTATTGTTATGAAGTTTAGATTTGTTTATTCAGACACGTAATTTAGGATTTGTGACGACAAGATTCAGACATTTACCCTTTACGAACGTATACAGAATTTTCACAATTCATATACCGTTACTTGCTGGTTCTAGATCTGATGCTAGTATCTTTGCTCAGATTTCTGTTGCAATTTTGGTTATTCAGGGTAGCAAGAGCATACAAGCTCATGTATTTTTGAAGTTTTTTTTATTTAAATTGTACTGAAGGTTGTTTTTAATTTGTAAGTTATATTGGTTTTTGAATTTGAATAAACTTTGAATTTGAAAAAAAAAATTACAAAATCCAGAAGATGAAAATCTGTAACACAAGGCTACTATTTGAGAATAAACAATACTATCTAATAAAAAAAAAATAGATCAAATGTGCGCTGATAGGGAAACCTGCATAAACATCACAGGGTGAGTAACGATACGGCACTAAATACGAACACAGCATGTTCTTCAAAATCGGGACAGTGGATCTAGCGTTTGACAAAATCTTATCCATTTACGTAATTTCTTGTAATTCAAACAGAAAAAAAATGGATCTAGCTTTAATTATTCATATGAACGGAATGGTACAAAAATAGATAAAAACTATGCGTTTTAACTCACGAAACTCATTCCCAAATTATAGCTCCCTCGATACAATTAGCCTCCTAATCACAGTTTTTTCGCTTTGTGCCGACAATAAATTCTGGATCAAGAGACATTTATCTCAAGCACAGTTACAGTCCAGGAAATGTTTGTTCAAAAAATACTTAAATGTTGTAGTTGTACCTTCGTTATAGATGGTGTAGAGGAATCCATTGTAGTATGGTAAGATCATACTGTATAATATATTGTTATTAGAAACTTGTTAGGTACTGCAAGTAATGTAATTCACCGGTAGTACCTATCAATATACATTTATAGACTGAATGGTAAATCTATTACACCACACTTCGGCTGGATTTCACTAACTTTTGGAGCTTAGACCAATGGGAAAAGACCTTATCGAAATGCAATTTGACGGAAGCTGTCAAAGCTATCTGAATATCAGTGATTTCTATTGAATTATTGAATATAATCGTGAAAAAGCGATTGTATTATAAGCAAGAGCACTGTTTGATTCCAACATGTTGCTTTTGTATAGAGAAAACAGGTCAACTTTCATATATTTTGATTTTTCTTATGAATGTACATATAATACATCGGTTATCCTTTTAGCCAATGGGAATGCAAAGAATAATGTTGTAGCTGTTAAATTAAATAGCAGGTTTGGACGTCTGTTAATGCATGGCAATCTCGAATTTGTCAAGTTCGGTCATAGTAATAATCATTTATTATCAATTTATGGGTAAATGAATTTCTTCAAAGCAATCAGAACAGTATGTACTCTCCATCCTAAAACACCTGTATCTCTAAAACCTACATCGGCTCGAGCAAAGATAACTATTGAAATATACTCTACTAGACTATCCGTAGCGAAATGTTTCTCGAAATCGTGTTGCACATCGCCTGAAAAATGCAAATGAAGATTCGAAAACTTCCGCTTTGACGTACTAAATGACTCCGTCGTTACCCCGGGATAGACATACAATCGTGTCATTCTTGTCACCTAGATTGCGGCGTTGCCAGCTCATCGAACAATTTTGCTACCTCTGCTATTTTGCTAGAATGTTATAAAAAAAGAAGCTTTGGATAAAATATTGAGGAATACCAATGGAGTTATAAAGAATTTGAAACGTAGCAATGTTTGCCAAAAAATTAAAAAAGCTGTTTTACATTTTGCGTCTCCTGGTGTCTATGCGGCGGAACGTTAATGTCTCTTAACACTTTTATACGATAAAATACTTTGTTTTATTATATAAATATATTTATTAACTATTTGATCTGAAATTACATGATCATAAATAGGAGAAGTACGATTTTCTTTATTAGGGGAATATGGTTTAACTATAATCAACGTTACTTCAACGACTTGATTCAGTCATCTCTCATCTCATCCAGACTTGCAAGAGAAAATGTTTGAAAATTTTCAGATCCGTCTGTCCTCATGCCTCCGGTTCTCGGTTTTATAGCCGTTTTATGACTATCGGCAAAAAATGTAAACGACTACAATATCCTTGTCGTCTACTATACAAAGTTATTAAAATTCTCATTCATTTAAAAAAAAGGATGTCAACCCTAACACACAAGTGATGAGTATGCAAGGCTCACCTAGTTAGCTGCACAGATATCCTGTTTCCCTCAGAAGAGTTGGAAGTAGGCCTAATTTCCACTTTGGAGACACTTGACACCCACGTCACAGCACTAAAGCACCACTGAGACACAATCGAGAACCCTTAGTGAACACCACTACTAGAAAAAAGTAGCTAAACGGAGCTGTGAACGGTAGACGTTCCGCCGCGGCGACGGTTGCCGAGACACTGATGCGTGTGAGTGCTGTACCTCGCTGCGGCGATACGGACGGCCGGGTAGTACAGCCACGCCCCTTTCCAGCTCCCACTCCGCGCGTCCACTCCCGTCAACGTAAACTTCGAGTCGCTTCGTGATACTCTCAGATAAGAAAACGCAGATCCGCGGAATGGGAGCTGGAAAGGGGCGTGGCTGTACTACCCGGCCGTACTGTATCGCCGCAGCGAGGTACAGCACTGACACGCTTCAGTCTCTCGGCAACCGTCGGCGCAGCGGAATGTCCACGCGTTCACAGCTCCGTGCAGAGGTCTATTCGGTTAAGGTATTTTTTTAATAGTGGTTCTCGATTGTCTCTCAGTGGTGCTCTGTGATTTTAGTGTTGTGACGTGGGTGTCAAGAGTCTCCAAAGTGGAAATTAGATCTTCTTCCGCGTTGCTCGTTCGTGTATTTCACCATGATGAAAATGTTTTCTTTACTGAGTGTTTTGACATTGACAGTTCGGTAATTGATTTAAAGGTGCGTTCACATTGAAAGTTCAAAATTGTCAAGTTCCTGTTGGACATAAGAGTCTACAAAGCCACATACGTGATGAATCTTCTCCTCCACATGCTTTTAAAAAATAGGATAAGGATAAATAAATAAAAGTCGTAATGTTGAATTAATAGCTTTATTTTAGCTTCCACATATACAAATACAGTGAAACACTAAACAATCTAAATGTTCCCTAGTTGCAGCCACTTCTAGTACGATGTTCAAATGGGATACAGGAAGAGATCATTAAAGCAATTTTATTCTAACATTCAAAATATGCAGATACAAGTACAGTGACCACATTTACGTGAGGTCAAGCAAAACATTTAATCAGTACTAATAGTAAATATCGAATGCATGAGTTTAGTGAGTGGAGTGCTTAATCTTCTAGCCACTCAAATGGTTCTGGGGGCTCGGGCTCCTTTTCGTCTTCACCCTTTGGGCCAAAAGCTGAAAAAATAAAATAGTTGTACTTTGAAATGTTCGCTTTTAAAGTTCAGCAAACTATAATTGAAGGAAGATGACAGCACTTAATAATGACAACACAAGGAGAAATCTATAAGCTTGAAAAGGTACATACGTTTGACTACTTTGGGTATAGTATTTACACCAAGGCTGGGCAACAAAGAGGAAATACAAAAAAAGAACGAACTAAAATCAGGATCTACAAAACGCAAATAAGGCCAGTGGTCACGTATGCATGTGAAATAAAGGCAGAGCAAGCAAAGCTGCAGATATAGGCATAGAAGGTGTTCAGGAAGATTTTGGTACCAAAATGTTAGATGATGGTAAGTGGACACGAAGAACAAATGATGAGTTGAAGGAACTGTTTAAAGAGTCCAACATGACGGAGGTCATAAAAGTTCAGGGGTTGAGATGGTTACAAATAATGGCAGAACAGTACCAAAGGCACTGCTGACACATCTAATTTCTAGGAAGAAAATGAGAGGCAAACCCAGAACGAGGTGGAAAAGTGAGGTGAAAGAGGACGTGAGGAACCTAAATATAAATGATTGGGAAAGAACAGCAAAGAATGGAGAAGAATGAGGAACGATCACCAATGTCATGGGCTTACTAGAATCTTAAAAAACTGCCAAAGTGAATGGTGCGCAATAAAATAGCGCCAATGCACAGTGATTCCTCCATAGGCCAGAAATCCCAAAAACTCATAACTATAGAACGGTCTAAAAGAGTCGCTAGGTAATCGAGTAGGCAAGAGGCTTTTAAAAAATATGAATAACTAAGGAATTAGTTCATGTTTGTACAACTGTATTTTAAGGTTTATAATACAATGAAAAAGGTTAAATCTATGTTGTGTATTTGTGGGGTATGGAAGAGGAATCACTGTGCAATGTGAATGAGATGTAAGCGATGTTGAGGTATTTTGAACATTCGCCACCAAATGAAAAAGTTGATGGATTTGACTATACAAAGTTTCTAGCTATGAACTTCAATTTACTTACCAGCAACAGGTTCTACGAGCTCTTCCTCATCAGGCTTGAGGTTCTTGACCATGATTAGCCCACCGATTGCCACATCCTTCATCGGTACATACTGACTGCCTTCGTTCACGGCCAACACTTTCAACTGCTGTCTCAGCACCCTAGCGGGATTTTGAAGAACCTCGAACGTTGCTTCCGGTTCTTTCTTCTTCTCTTTCTCTTTTTCCTCCTTTTCGTCCTTCTTGTCCTTCTTATCTTCACTGGCAGTTGAGGTCGAAGGCTTTTTGTCATCCTTCTTTTCGCTGGTGGATAACTCTACCTTTTCTCTTTCTTTCTTCTCTTCGGGTTTCTTCTCTTCGGACTTTTTGTCGTCTTTCTTATCTTCCTTGTCATCATCCTGGAAAGATAATTTAAAAAAAATAAAATAAATGAAATAGAACAGAAGATGTAAGACGTTAACAGTGACATTTCTTCAACTATAAGGAACAAGTATAATGAATGCAATGGGACTCACCACATCCATCTTGTCATCACGATGCTTCTTATCGTGATCTCTCCTACGTTGCCTGGCCGCGATACTCAGAACAGCTGTTGTTACTTTTTCTCTTTCTTCGCGCTTTTTCTCTTCCATGGGCGGAGGGTACGCGTACATGCTTGGTTTGGCGTTTGATCTCCACTCCAACTTGGGCATCTGGAAAGAAAAAATCATTCAAATCTACTGCAAACGTACAGGATGGCCACGCGTTCGGCGTGCGGGTTAAATAGTCACAATGGAACGTTGGACCGGAGCACAACGTGCTTTTGCTATCGAGGCTTACTTTAAGAGTGGTGATTTATACGCAGCTGCCCTTAGGAAATTTTGTACATAATACAATATTCCCCGACCAGGAGATTGTAAGAACAGAACGTCGATTTAACAGAAACACATGGTTTCAACGGGATGCGGCCACTGCCCTTACTTCCAGAGAAATCGATGGACACGGTGAAAGCACTTTTTCCTCAAAAAGCTATATCGAAGTTTGGAGACATGCACTGGACTCCTAGGTCACCCGATCTCACGCCATGCGATTTTTTTCTTTTGTTATGTTAAGTCAAAAATGTATCGCAATAATCCACGAACACTGCAGGAGGTTAAAAACAACATTCGACGAGAAATAAACAAAATAACTCGGGAGGTCTGCAAAAGAGTGTTTAAGAATTTGCGCGCGCGATTAGAAGAGTGTGTCCGAAGGGATGCCAAACACTTGGACGGAATGATATTTTATAAATAAAACCCGCCGAATTTATGAACAAGTTGATAATTAATGTTTTCTTTTCATTAAATTTGTATTTTTTTTTTCTTAAATCAAAAAGTGAACTTTCCCCCTGAACTCTATTTTAACCTCATTTACGCCACGTCAAAACAAGCACGCTTATCGCTGAGCGCCCAGGCAGTTCTGGCCCGCTGGCTAATAGGAGCGCAAGAACTTGAAAATCGGTGGTTGGTGTTTGTGTTGGCGCTACGAAAAATCCATTCAAACAGAGTTTAAGATTTAGAAGACGTACATGTCAAAATCCAGCATGAAAATATATGTTCAAAGTTTAACACGTAGCAATTCCTCGGAATATAGTAGAGTAGTAAGATGAATACACAAAAATACAGGGTGTTTTCAAAGTTGAGTAATTTATTTTAACTGCTTGTAGGACTCGTCAACAGGAGTTGATATACCCAAAATCACCTATACTTTGAAGTTGAGTCATTAATTTTCAGATAATGATTGTAGAAGGAAGATAAACCAAAATATGTGTGTAAAAATAAAAAAAAAGTTACCTTGTTTTATAAAGTATCCTCCCGACAAGTATTTCAGTGCGGACCTGTATTTGATCGTGCGGTCTTGGAGCACCGGCATGCCCTCCCCTGTGAGGTTTTAAGTCACCTGATTCACAAGCCCTTTGTACTACATTAACAAAGGCACGAGGGGTTGGTTGCACTCGATTGGGAGACCGATCCGCATAAATCCGTGATGCCGCGGCAGCATTTTGTAAAGACTCCCCCCCGTAAATAAGAATCATGTCCACAAGTTCAGCATTTTCGTAAACATGTGCCATTATTTATTTCGTTTGAGCGACGCAACTAACACCACTATTCACTCACGCGTTACCGACTGACACATTGACTGAATACAACTGAATAAAATTGTAGTAAAAACATCGTGATAAGCGTTTCAAATTCTTTCGCTTTTTTGTTTCCGATGAGATGAACCGATAAGGCGGATTATATCCGTTGTTGCCAAACACGAGCACATATTATTATTGAGACAGGGAGGTACTCAAACTTCTAAAGGGCTATAACTTTGTTACTTTAATTTTACCAGAAAAATGTTAAAGGAAAAAAACATTTCTTTTGATCAGATCTACTCACTGTTAAAATAAATGACTCAACCCTGTATAAAAGAAATAGTGAAAGGTTAAAAATTAAAAAAAAAATCTTAGCGTTTTTTGTTTACTACTTTTATCGTATATCTAAATTTGGCAAACTTTTTGTGTTATTGTATGGTTTTAAGTACGAGTCTTTGGTTCGATCAGTTGTATCAGTCTTTTAAAATCATGTTTGGACAGTGGTAAATCCGCATGCTGTAAAAAGAAATCATTTTCAACATAGATTTTTATTAAATATTTAGGCTGTCGTGGTAAATGGCATACTTAATGGACCCTACTTTTTTCCACGTCGATTGACCGGTGACATTTATTTAGATTTTCTTCCAAATCTGAGACAGGATGGGGCTCCACCACATTTTAGAGTTCATGACCCTCTAAATAATGAGTTTCCGAATAGGGCGCGATGGACCCATTTCTTGGCCTGCTCGCTCCCCGGATTTAACGCCTTGTGCTATTTTTCTGTGGGGCTATTTGAAAGAGTTGGTGTAACATGATGGAGCACTAAATACTTTAGAAGTTCAACAGCGCACTGAAAATAAATGTGGCTTAATTCGTGGACACCAGGATTCTGTTTTCGAAGCTTGTGGACAATTTTGAACAGTTTTCTTGATATTTATTTTTTTTAAATAATGTAAAAACTAACTCTATTATCATGCAACTTTTATAATAGGTGATTTTTGGTATATCAACCTTTTTTTGAAAACACCCTACCCTGTATAGTTTCTTTATCAGCAAACTTCAAAAAAAAAACTATACCTAAGCTAATGTTTTTTTTTGTTTTTACGTGTCTACTGAACCAGTTAGACAGCTTGGTTTCTCCTACCTTCAGTTGGGCATTGAGAGCGATGACGCAAGTAGGTGTAAATGCGAGTGCCAAACAGTGAGAGAGCGGGAACCAGTACCAATACTGGGTGAATACCAGAGTGCCGACAACAGCCAACATGTTGGTGTGTCCGGTTCTTGATTGTAGCGACAAGGTTACGTTTCTGCCACCGGCATCGATGATTCCTGGAACAAATAGAAAATTCGATCAACCTAGTGTAAAAGTTCAGTTTTTGATTTTTTTAAAAATACAAGCTTAATGAAGATACACTCTGCTAATCGCGCACGTGAATGCTGAAACACAAGAGTGCAAGAGCAGAGTTCCGGAATAATGTTTATTTCTTGTAGAATATTGTCTTCAAGCTCTTCCATCGCATGGCGTGAGGTCGGGTGACCTAGGAGGCTAGTAAATGTCCCCAAACTTCGATATAACTTTTTGAGGAAAAAGTGCTTTCACCGTGTCCATCGATTCTCTGGAAATATGGGCAGCGGCCCCATACTGATGAAACCATGTGTTTCTGATAAATCAACGTTCTGTTCTTACAATAGGAGCAAAAAACTGTCAATCATGTCCTTGTATCGCTCGGAATTGACTGTGCATGACCGTTTTCATCTTCAAAGAAATACGGCTCAATAATACCGCTAGAGGATATGGCGCACCAAACAGCCACCTTTGGACTATGTAGCTGTTGTTGATGTTTCTCTTTTGGGTTCATTGATATCCAATATCTGCAATTTTGCTTGTTCACATAACCGGCTAAATAGGCCTCGTCACTGAAAACAACGTTTTCGAGTCTGCTCTACGCAGGAAAAAGATTCAGCATCCGTCCAGCACAAGATTTCCGTAATACGTAATCACTTTCGTTTAAAGCATCGACTGATTGGATTTAATAATGATAAAAACCCTTTTTTTTTTCATTATGTCATGCAGTGTTGACCTAGGGATCCCCAAAGCAGCGAGATGCTTCCGTACAGAACGCCGAGGATTTGCAATGACCGAATCAATGACTCGACGAACATTTTCTTCGGTTGATACAGTAGATATGGGGCTAGGAATGAGTTGACTAAGAGTAAAGCCCGTTTCCCGGAACCTCTTCATCCCCTTTTTTAATAAGTTCTTACTGGGGAATCACCACTCTTAAAGTAAGCCTCGATAGCAAAAGCACGTTGCGCTCCGGTCCAACGTTCCATTGTGACTATTTAACCCGCTCGCCGAACGCGTCGATCAAGACCTATCCCCACTTCCTCGCGTATACGGTATCCGCGTAATTCAAATTTGAAATGTGAACGTTCCCTGTATAAAGTCTCATATTGTTTTGAGGTTCCATATGATAAAAGTATCAACAACACCTGCGTATCTGTGAACTGAATGAACAGCCGTTTTATTGGTAAATGGGATTCGTGGATTCCGATATCAACGTCCCGAGCTGTTCGTAAAAAAATCACTTAATGTGATCGATACATATGTCTCCTTCTATCATAGTCTAATTATAATAGACGACAATATCCCTGGCTTGCGAAATAGGGGGTATTCTGAACATAGACGCATAAAATGGATACACCCCTGGGGGGAGGTTGGTACTACTACGAGGGTACTACGATGTGTATTCTAAATATTTACTTCGACGAGGACCTCACATATTTGAGATCGAACATCACTTACAGGTAAGTTCGTTTGATTATGCAATTAACCGTTCGGCCCGGTAGAACCAATACTTTGTGAATAATTCCCTGCGAATCGTAGAAACGAATCAACAATGTCTTTACTATGGACTGTTCTAAACTGTTTTTTTTTTCGGATTTGGCCTACTTGGGTGCTTCCATCGGGCACTTTGAGGTTTGAAAGTACCAAGTTACGTCACCAGTCACAATGTTGAGCAGAAAGTTCTTGTCTTTTTGGCCGTCTCTCAGATGTTGAGTTCGAATCAATTTTTGGTCATCCGTGAGCTTGTGTGGAACACACTGTGAACACACCTTTCTCATGCCAAAATTCTTGGTCAAAATGCAATGGATTGAATCTTTAGAGATATTTAATTCCATTTCTGTGAATCTCGATGAAGATTTTTGATAAATTCACGTACTTTTTTGAAGGTTTCTGGTATAATCACAAATTTTGGCTGGCCAACATGTTTGTCGTGTCCCAGCGACTCACGACTCTCTTTGAACCGTGTTAACCACTCGTGGACTAGGCTACGAAATAAACAAATCATCACCGTATACTTGCATCACAGCCGACGTCAACTACGAGCCGTGAACAAAGAAATCTGGCAACGTAGGTGATAGTGTTACTCCCGCCGCTGCTTGCTGCATCGACGCAACTCGTGCTCAAAACGCTGAGAAAACATAACCTTTTCAATTTGTGATTTTGGAATCCCAGAGGCTGTAATTAAGAGATAAGCTTGTTTTCGAAGCTTCAAAGTGTGTGTATGTGTTCAAAGTGATCGGTGACTATAATATATGAGAAATAGACTCCAGTTGTAGTGCTTCTGTGCTTTAAAAATAAACTAAGAAGTGTGACTGTGGCTGTTCGCGCCTCAGGACGCTAAGGATTTCAACTATTGAAAACGTGCAAATTCAGGTTGTATTTTTCTTTTTTCATTTATCAAGTATTTGACGCAGACAATATGCCTCGTTGTTGCTGTGTTCCTTTATGCAATGCAAACTATAATTCTGCTTTGAAAACAGAAAGCTATGTTTCAACTTTTCGCTTCCCAAGTACCGAAAGTCTGAAAAACAAATGGCTTATGGCAATTCCCAGAAAAAATTGGACACCTTCAAAATATTCAGCTGTGTGCAGTCGTCATCTTAGAGAATCGAATATCATCAGGACAGAAAATATAGTTTTGCCGGATGGAACAGTCCAAAATAATATACCTTTGTAATATCCAAAATTGAAAGAAAATGCTGTTCCCTCCATTTTCCCAAACTTGCCATCATATCTTTCAAAAACTGAAGCACCCAAAAGAACTGACCCAATGCAAAGAAAACAAAAATTAATTGAGAAACATGAAAAAGCTATCCAGAATTTCGATGATATGGATAAGATCAAAGATAAATTTAGTTCAAAATTGTGGATTTGAAGTTATTTGTGATAATCACCGAATTAATAGAGCAATGGTCAGGAAATTAGCAAAGGATTCATCAGAAAATTATTCTATTCCAAATCCACATAATCCTGATAAGAACATATATTTAACTTATCATGATGTGCATATTTTCAAGAGTATCAGAAATAATTGGATTAATTTAAAAAACCTAGACAAAACTTTTGTATATCCTAATTTTGACAATAATGATATTATTCAGTATGTTAAATTTGAAAACATTCGTGCTGTATATCAATTGGAAAAATAAGTTGTAGTTAAGAAAGCATATAAATTAAATTATAAAACATTGCATCCAAATTCATTTGAAAGGCAAAATGTAAATTTTGTAGATAATTTATTCCATCACTCAACAATAGCTGCTATGAAAGAATTAAAGTTTAATGATGCTGCACACTTTTTGGAAATAATCAGGAATTGGTGGGATATTGTCAGTAATACAAGTGTAATAAAAGGAGAATTGAAGCGAAACGAATTTTGTAAGCCTATTACCAATAAATATGATTATAGAGTACAATTTTTAAAAAAAATCCTGATATGGTTAGAAAAATGGCATAATCTAGAGAATAATAATGGACACCTGACACCAGAAACGTATACAGCTCTATATCAAAGCACGCTGACTCTACTTAATATAATTGAATATTCATTTAATCAATTTGACATTGAGTATGTATTGCCTGGAAAATTCACCACTGATAATTTAGAAAAACGATTTGGCAATTATAGGCTTTTATGTGGCTGCAATTACAATGTGTCATATGATGAAATTTTAAATGCTGAAAAGAAAATACGGCTGAAGCATATTTTCAATGAAAAGAAATCGTCATTTTCTTTAGCAGAAATTAAAACAAGGTTCCAAAACTGCTTAGAAACTCAAGAAAATTTTGATTTCTTGGATACCAAACAAAATCCTGAAGTTTTGGATATATTCAATGAAGTATTTGAGACAAATTACTTAGCCAATTGTGACATAGAGGATAGTACTAAGACTTATATATCTGGATATGCTTCACACGCTATCTCTAAAAACCTAAACTGCGAGATATGCAAATCGCTAATAGTTAAAGAAAAAGGTTCATTAACAACAAATGTTTATTTTGATCATTTGCAAAGAGGAGGACTGTCAATTCCAACCAGTTATGTACCAATCATATTCTACCATATGTATGCCATTTTTGAATCTATTATTAATGTAGATAGATTGGAAATTTTCTTCTTGAAAAGCAATAATCAAAAATTTATTTTGTGTCAGTTAACCTTGCTCAGCATTCAGTCTGACTTTATATACAGTGAATTTTCTTTAACTGGCATCTGTGGCCGCAATTATGCAGATATTTTATCTAAGCTTTTGTCTATTTTTTCAAACATAATTTTGAATGATTATGTAAAATTGAAAAATAACAGTAAAACTGAAAGTAAATGTATTAAAAACAAACAGGTAACTCCACATTTCCAAGCTGGGCCTGTTGGAACACAGTGTGCTGACACCAAAAAACGTAAACTAAATGCTTTTAATTAGGTTAACTGCATTAGCGACTCATATATATCACGATTATTTCGTATTTTTAAATTTTTTAGAGCTATTTCATATTCAGATGATTTGTATCGAATCGAACTGTCCTCTTTTCCAAAATTAAATTTAGTTCTTGAACGTTACACGGAGACGGAGCGCACAGCCGCTGGCGGCCGACGTTCACAGGTAGCACTACCATGCCGTCCGAGCGCGGTGTTGCCTTTCTTTCATCACGGCTCGTAGTTGACGTCGGCTGTGCTTGCATCAACATCTGATGCACTTCAGTAAATGTTTTACCAAATTTAACACAGAACTTAATACTGTCTCTATGTTCGATGCTCATTTTTCGACCGATGTTAAAATTTTGACAAGACATAAACGAAAGATGTACTCATCGGCGCTACTTGAATCGCACACCTTTCAAAAGTCCTGTTTACTTTGCGACAAACCTTGAGGATTCCTTAACTTAATTTCTTACCTTGAGCGAGGATGGCTCCAAACTTGGCCATCACATCCTCGTGCTTATTCGCGATAACCTGGGCATAGGTCTGCCTGAAGAAGGACGTCTTGGGACAAGTCTGATCCGTATGCTGAATCAAAATCATGGCTGACGCGATCAACGCGCCCTGGCGCACGAAGTTGACCGGATCGAACATGATCATTGGCTCCAGGAGGGCGATGGCTTCTCTGAGGCCAGTGCCTGCGCACGCGATGCCTAGGGCCATGGCCGCGCCGTATCGAACATGCGGGTTGTAGCTCTCCGCTAGCAGAGAGACGACTGATGGACATTGCTCGGGGGTCCTGCAATAAAAGGAAATGTCAGTGGATCAGGCTGTCTGTGTCACTACACAATAAAAATACAAAAATATACTCGGCGACATTAGAAGTCTTACGCCTAGAAAAAATAATTTCAACTTAACATTAGTCACGAAATTTTATTGACAAGTCATAAGAAACAAATCTAAATACACTCCTGTATACGTCTAGGCATCGACAAAATATGATGATCATTCCAAGCAACTCGCACTAGGATTAGCTCTGCCAGAGTCTGTGGCGGATGCTGCAAAGTGGTCAGTCTCCTTCCCATCATATTCTACACATGTTCGATGGGATTTAAATCCGGTGAACGGGGTGGCCTCGGTAAAACAATAACGCCTGCTTCTTCCGTAGAACGATTAGCAATATGGGGACGTGCGTTGTCTTGTGGAAAAAGGACGTGTGGACGGCCCTCTAGATACAGCAGTAAAGTGGTTTGTAGGACATTTGACTAGATCATAACAAACTGGATACTCCTCCCAAGAATGGACATTTTGTTACGGCTCGACGCAAAAGGATCCATTTCTATTAGAACCCATGACATACATAAGTCACAAAGCACCGTCAGAACAGTATGACATATAACACAATTTATATTTTGCTAACATTGACTATTAAAATCACTTATATAACTGTCAAATAGATTCATAAAATAACACTGATCAACAGCCAAAAAATATCCTAAATAAAATCATTAAAATATTACTATTTTTAATGTGCTAATACGGGAATGAAACTTATTTTTTCGATATTAGTTCAAGTTTTAGAGATACGGTAATTATATGTGTTCCTGCTGTGACAGTGTTAATATACTGTAATTCACAAGAATGCACGTGCTACATTTTTATATTCGGCAAGGAAAGATGATGTAATCGGCATGATTGTGTTACGTTATACATACGTGTACATTATATTGTTTTATATTAGCCATTTTTTCCTCAGTTGGCTGACAGCATTCATGCAAGATGTCTCGAAAGTGTGTAAACAATCCAGATCAGTTTTGTTACGTGTGTGGTGATGTGACTTTTGCGTCTCAGAGACGGTCTATTACTCCACTAATAACAAAGGCATATCAGCTTTATTTCGGTTGTAAACTAGGTGATCAAGACAAACAGTGGGCACCCCACATCTGCTGTAATACATGTGCTTCAAGTCTGAGGAGCTGGTTAAATGGCAAAAAACGGTCTATGCGCTTTGCTGTCCCAATGGCTTGGAGAGAGCCTACAAATCATATTAATGATTGTTACTTTTGCATGGTACCTTGTGTTGGACAAGCCACAGGTATGTCCAAGAAAAAAAAATCGGTTATTAACTACCCAAACATACCATCTGCGATGAGACCTGTGCATCACAGTGACGCAAATCCTATTCCAAAACCCCCAGAATCCTACACTTGCGAATCAGAAAACGAATCAGATCATGGCGATCGAGTGATTCGTCAGGAAGAAGATATGCCATCAACGTCAAGAGATCCTGATTTTATACCGAGCACGTCATGCCACCAACCGCACAAAATAACACAGTCAGAATTAAATGATCTTGTAAGAGCTTTAAAACTTCCAAAATGTAAGGCAGAGTTACTTGGATCAAGACTGCAGCAGTGGAACTTGTTAGAAGACGATGTTTCGGTATGTGTTTTTCGTAAACGCCACAAAGACTTAGAACCATTTTTCAATATGGAGAATAACTTGGTTTTCTGCAGTAACATTAACGGCTTACTGGCGGCTTTAAATATAAACTATAACCCAGAAGAATGGAGATTGTTTATAGACAGTTCAACATTGAGTTTAAAGGCAGTGTTATTGCATATTGGAAATATTTTACCATCTCTTCCTGTAGGATATGCAGTTCACATGAACGAATCATATGACAATATGAAGTACCTATTGATATGCATAAAATACGATGAGCACCAATGGCATATTTGTGGCGATTTGAAAGTTGTTGCACCTTTACTTGGGCTGCAGCTAGGCTACACAAAGTTTTGCTGTTTTTTGTGTGAATAGGACAGTCGGGCAAAGGCACTTCATTACACCAGACAAAACTGGCCTGTTCGTAAATTTTTAGAGCCAGGCCAACAAATGTACAGCATATGCCATTAGTAGATACGAAAAAAAATTTATTACCACCACTGCATATCAAGTTGGGCCTAATGAAAAACTTTGTCAAGGCATTAGATAGAGATGGGTCAGCTTTTCAATACCTGCGTCAGAAATTTCCAAGACTAAGTGAGGCAAAGGTTAAAGAAGGTATTTTTGTTGGGCCACAGATTCGAAATATTTTGAAAGATACACAGTTTGAAAACACTTTAACAGGTATTGAAAAAACTGCTTGGAATGATTTCCGTCTGGTGATCACTAATTTCTTGGTACTTTGACAACTATAAAACCCTTGTCAAAAATATGCTGTCATCGTATCAAAAGATGGGCTGTAATATGTCTCTTAAGATACATTTCCTACACTCACACCTGGACTTTTTTCCTGACAATTGCGGAGCCGTAAGTGATGAGCACGGCGAACGTTTTCATCAGGATATTTCAACAATGGAAAAAAGGTACCAGGGAAAGTGGAATCCTTCCATGCTTGCAGACTACTGTTGGACTCTTGGTAGAGATGCTCCAGAAACGATCCATAAAAGAACAGCAAAAAGACAGCGCATATAGTGATTCTTATAAGTATATGAATCTTGTTACTTTTTTTAATATATCCTTAAAAATAAAAAGTTTTTTTCTAAACCGCAACTATTTTGTTTATTTCATTGTCATTTTTGGATTCAGCGCCCCAAAATTAACAAAGAAGTGCACTTTTCCCACAAGATACAATTAAAAAACTAAAATTTGTTGTCCAGTGAATTGGCCCTTTCGAGTTACCCCCAAAGTTGTCAGGAGACGGATACCTTAGCTTTCTAGCCAATAACCTACCAGAACTTTTGGAACAGACCTCAAACAACATGCCATTACAACGGAGACAGAATTTGTGGTTTCTTCATGACGGGGCACCACCACACATTTTTAGAGGCGTCATTCAGTATTTGAATGAACATTATCCAAATCGCTGGATCGGTCGAAATGCTCCTGATCCTCGAAAATGGCCAGCAAGATCTCCTGACCTCAATCCGATGGATTTCTGGTATTGGGAAGAACTTGAAGGGATGGTTTATGGGGCTGGTCCAATAACAACTGAAGCACAACTTCGCGACAAAAATTTTAATGCGGCTGAAATAAATGGACAATGGGTTTTAAGAAGAAAAACAATGTATGTATAAAATTGTGTTCCCTATTTATAAGTGGATTTTTTTATACGTTCAATTAACTTTCACACACCAGGTGAAGCGCTGAGACAGTTAGTGGTAATTACGTTTTTTTTAATTGTTTGCATTTTACGAGTACATTATCAAATAATGAAATAATACCTAAGAGCCAAAAATAACACACTCCATCTTTATTTACACTGCGTTCCGTCGTAATTTGCGTCTGGCATTGCGGCGTTGCCAGATTTTATTTTACTTTAAAGTCGCTTGTATACTAAGTGACATATAAATCCGAACACCCAGTTTAAATGGTTTTATTTTAATAAAATTTTGTGTGGATGCACCCTGATGTGCTACGCATTCTCCAACGCGCCTAGGCATGCTTCTGATCAGGTGGTCAATGTCCTCCTGTGGTATCTCATTCCAGGCAACCACCAACTCCTCTCGAAGTGCTTCTAGAGTCTGAGGAGGACGTTGCAAATTGATCTTGATCTCCAACCCATCATATCACACACGTGCTCAATTGGGGATAAGTCGGGAGATCTTGGTGGCCATGGTAACAATGTGACATCATTATGTTGAAAGAAGTCTATTGTGACTCTTGCAACATGTGGTCGGGCATTATCTTGTTGGAAAGTTGGATCTGCCAGGGTGTCAAGATAGGGTAAAAGATGGGGTTCTAGAACTTCGTGGATATAACGCTGCGCGTTCATGTTACCTCTGATGAAGATTAAAGGTGACCTGGAACCATAAGCTATAGCACCTCAAACCATAACTCCAACAGTGTGATAAACATGTCTTTCAACAAAAAACTGTGGATTCCTCCTTTCATCACGTCGCCTTCTAACCCTGGCACGACCATCGTGCATGCCTAAACAAAATCGAGACTCGTCACTAAAGACAATACTGTTCCATTCCTGATCCCAGAGTGACCGTTGTCTGCACCACTCAAGGCGATTACGTCGGTGTTCTCGAGTTAAAGGGAGGACCCAGGGTGGCCGGTATGAAAACAAGCCAAAACTTCTCATTCGTCGGTAAACACTTCGCATGCCAATAGGTCTTCAACTTCTGCAAACCATTCATTTGCAATGGACCTGGTAGTGGAGAAACGGTCCCTTAAGGCCAATAATCTTAGGCGGCGATCTTCACGGTCTGTTGTTCTACGGCGGCGTCCAGTGCCCCTTGCTCTTTGCGTACGGCCTTCTCGAAGCCATGCCTGACAACACCTAACCACAGTGCCTACACTTCTTTGCACTCTAACTGCAATTGCCCGAAAAGAAAGTCCAGCTTCCCGAAGTCCCACTATACGGCCCCTATCAAACTCACTAAGTTGACGAAATCGCACAGGTCTCCGTACTCTAGGCATCGTAACCGATCGTAAAGGATGTCAAGAACCAAAATCCACCAACGTTGATTCTTTACTGCGGCTGAAATATTCATTTTTAGAGCGTTAGTGAATTAAAAAAAAGCAGTATAAAAACCGGAATGTCCAACTGATAAGGCTGAAAATTTTTTCACTTGTTATTTACAGTAAGATAAATACATTCACCAACTTTTATTAAAATAAAACCATTTAAACTGGGTGTTCGGATTTATATGTCACTTAGTATATTTGTCGGAGTGACAACTTACTTAACATCGGCGTGCAATTTGCTTTGTCCTGTTACCAACTTTCAATATGAAAATGTACAATGCCAAACCAAACCTGACTAGAAATATTTTAGACCCCTTAGTACATTTTCTGAAAAAACCATCCGCCTCTCTTTTCACTTCCGTGGTTGCAACTCATTTTTCCTCTACTTCTTTCTTGCCTAACTTTCACCCTCCGGCATAATGCCTGGCATGGCGCTTCTTAGCTTTTTGCCTTGAGAATTGCATCCGCGGGAGAACCCGAGGCATTTAGCGTGTCTGATCTAATTACGGAAATCGGCTGGCCTAGCGCAGGTCACGCCAGCAACTTTTCACTGCTGGAATGTAATTATGCAGGTTTTTGCACTGATAACCGGCTATGCAGGTCATAAAGGGAGATGTTTTACCTTCCACGTGGTAGGCCAATGGCAGTCCGCTAATCGTCCTTTTGAAAAAATGTTATGATAGTGTTTGTCTTCATTCACGAACAGTTTGATGACATTTTACATTTACTGTCACTTGTCAAGAAGCTATTATTACTCTACAATGCTTGAAAAGTCCTTTCGTTCATCTAACTTGGTAAGTATGGTCGACGATGGCCAATAATAACCATAACCAATAACAAGAGAATGAACGGGGGAAATGCGGCAAGAAAGGTTATGAAGATGGGTGGATGTCTGCATAGACATGAACCCATAGAAAAGTTGAAGAAGAAAAATAAAGTTATAGTTACATTAGCATTGCTTACTTTTGTACTGTGGAAAGACGTGAAAAGCGAAATCCGTATACTCTAGTACGGCTTTTAATAGGAAGAAAACGCAGCTACTAATTTTGACCTGAGAGTTTATGTTTGATGACACTGAAGAGGTGCTGATAATCATGTGAAGCAAACGAAGAACGTGTAATATGCACAACGCGAAGTCTGTTCTAGACCTCCACTGAACTGTGAACAATGGATATGTCGACATTAAGAACTTAGCAGAAATCCAACTAAAGATCAACCGGTTGTATTCTATACTACGGTATTAGGTTAAGGTTTAACCGCTCTTAACCAGGTTTTGCTGTGACGTTATAACCGCGGTCGAATGGAAGCGACGAGCATTTGGTTAAGACCGGCTGAAGTTTGTTAAACGAAAGAAATTACGCTTTTGCTAAACTTATTTGGACGTACCGCATCCAACAAGGCAAAATCTGTATCAGGATTGCAGAAACGACTAAGAGCATAGATTCCGAAGATCGAAATTTCGCGCAAATAGCATAGCATAAGCAGTACAAGTCACATACCTCCTTGCGTTTTTGCGATCCTGATAGCAATTCGTCGCCTACCAATTTACTAGAAAAGTCAGTGTAATATTTCTATGTTGAGCAGTTTCAGGATCGCAGGAACGACAAGAGGTATCGATGCCACGTATTGGAATTTCGTGCTTATCTCATAGCAGGAGCAGAGTGGCATTTTCATACCTCCTCGCGTTTCTATAAAATTGATAATATATTACATTTTCCAGTGGTTCCAGAAGTAAGTCCAGAGAATGCACGATACTGAGTTCCCACGAAAGTGATTCTGCGTGACATTTCTTTCTCTATCGTCAAGTGATCAATAAGTTCAGTGTTTAGTACATATGCTAAGTGACATATAAATCCGAACACCCAGTTTAAATGGTTTTATTTTAATAAAATTTTGTATAAGTACTTAATGAAGCATAATAAGTAAATGATAAAAATTTCAAAATGATTGCACTGCTTTAAAGCCCTTTGACCTTTAATAATGTGTGGATGCACCCTGATGTGCTACGCATTCTCCAACGCGCCTAGGCATGCTTCTGATCAGGTGGTCAATGTCCTCCTGTGGTATCTCATTCCAGGCAACCACAAACTCCTCTCGAAGTGCTTCTAGAGTCTGAGGAGGACGTTGCAAATTGAGCAATCTCCTACCCATCATATCCCACACGTGCTCAATTGGGGATAAGTCGGGAGATCTTGGTGGCCATGGTAACAATGTGACATCATTATGTTGAAAGAAATCTATTGTGACTCTTGCAACATGTGGTCGGGCATTATCTTGTTGGAAAGTTGGATCTGCCAGGGTGTCAAGATAGGGTAAAAGATGGGGTTCTAGAACTTCGTGGATATAACGCTGCGCGTTCATGTTACCTCTGATGAAGATTAAAGGTGACCTGGAACCATAAGCTATAGCACCCCAAACCATAACTCCAACAGTGTGATGAACATGTCTTTCAACAAAAAACTGTGGATTCCTCCTTTCACCACGTCGCCTTCTAACCCGGGCACGACCATCGTGCATGCCTAAACAAAATCGAGACTCGTCACTAAAGACAATACTGTTACATTCCTGATCCCAGAGTGGCCGTTGTCTGCACCACTCAAGGCGATTACGTCGGTGTTCTCGAGTTAAAGGGAGGACCCAGTGTGGCCGGTATGAAAACAAGCCAAAACTTCTCATTCGTCGGTAAACACTACGCATGCCAATAGGTCTTCCGTGTTCTGCAAACCATTCATTTACAATGGACCTGGTAGTGGAGAAACGGTCCCTAAAGGCCAATAATCTTAGGCGGCGATCTTCACGGTCTGTTGTTCTACGTCCAGTGCCCCTTGCTCTTTGCGTACGGCCTTCTCAAAGCCATGCCTGACAACACCTAACCACACTGTCTACACTTTTTTGCACTGTAACTGCAATTGCCCGAAAAGAAAGTCCAGCTTCCCGAAGTCCCACTATACGGCCCCTATCAAACTCACTAAGTTGACGAAATCGTACAGGTCTCCGTACTCTAGGCATCGTAACCGATCGTAAAGGATGTCAAGAACCAAAATCCGCCAACGTTGATTCTTTACTGCGGCTGAAATATTCATTTTTAGAGCGTTAGTGAATTTAAAAAAGCAGTATAAAAACCGGAATGTCCAACTGATAAGGCTGAAAATTTTTTCACTTGTTATTTACAGTAAGATAAATACATTCACCAACTTTTATTAAAATAAAACCATTTAAACTGGGTGTTCGGATTTATATGTCACTTAGTATATATTGCAGAAAGACACTAAACTCAAACATAGTCACGCATACTCCACGAGAGTAACATTATAGGGAAGATTCAACCGTTGCCACCGCATGCTGTTCAA